AACAGGTGGGTCTGCTGAAAGATTGCTCTGAGGGGAATGGCAGGTGAGACAGGAGAGGTCTGTTTCGCCGTGTGGGTAGCTTCATCAGCTGGGGATTGAACTGGTGCTGCAGTGACTCTTCATAGAAGAGTTAGCAAAATTCAAGGTACCATTTGGGTGAATTATTTGAATCCTAGCAATAGCTGCTCAGCACCATTAAGAAAAAGGGAATGCATTGCTTTTCTACCCTATTTATCATTTGGGCAAGAGTTGTTACTGGGTCCTAGGGAGTCTCTTCTTAAGTGGGCTGCAGGGCCTAGGGTTCTTACACTGGAAAGCCATGTTTGTCAGCATCCCATCTTTAGTAACAAAATTGTTAAAGAGTCTAGGATTTTATTTTACTCTGTTTACGAGAGAGTAAGTTAGCCTGTGTAATAGGCTGGCAGAATACATGGGAAGTTACATAGAAAATTCTTACATACCTTCCACCCAGCTTACCCCCATAATAACATTTAAAGTGATCAAACTGTGAAACTGACATTAGCATGATAGTAAACTATAGATCTTCATATGGAGTTTACCAGTTCTTGCATGTACTTAGTTCATCCTTTTTTTTTTTCTTTATATTTAAGGAGTTTTTTATTGACAGTTTCATGGTTTCCTTAGGGCTTAAAATTTAAATCTTCACGATCTACCTTCAATTACACCACTCAAAAGTGGGCTCCCCAGCAGGTAAGAAATCAAGATCTCAGCAGGGATCCACCCAACTTAATCAGAACTGTCCATCCCACCTACCTGATAGCTTCCTTACCTTTTTGGCCCCCAATATGAGGAGACCCACCTCACCCCTGCCTTCCTGGCCACTCCTAACTTGGGACCCAGAGAAATAAGGCAAGGATCCTTCCCCACAGCCCATCTCTGCTAAATTCCAGGTGCCAGCTGGCTGGTGGTCACTGAAGGGACCCTTGCTATTAAACAGTCAAGAGGCTGAACTTGTACATCTCCACGATCTTAGTCATTTGGGGAAAAAACTAAGTACTCAGAGTTAAAAACGTGTATACACACACACACATCTCACTGAGGAATAGTTATAAGAACTTGAAATGTATTTCCATTTCACTTCTTCCATCATTTAGACTGTTGTCATAATCATCCCCAGCATAGTTTCCATTTTTGCCATTTTTCTCTTATTATTTGCATTGGGAGAAAACATGCCATGTCATTAGAAAATTCAAATGTCCCTATGGAGTTACCAGTCATAAGAACTGAATGAGTGTGGAAGTGGGCCCCCTGTATCCCCAATGAAGCTTTTGCATGATTAAACTTCAGCTAATACTTTCACTGCAACCACAGGAGCACCACAGTAACCCTGAACCACTCAGTTAATTGATGTTAAATTCTTGATCCACAGAATCTAAGATGTTTGCTTTTAGCTGTTAAGTTTTGGGGGTGTTCCTCAGCCCTCCATTCCCTTGTGCATCCAATTTGGCCTACCATAAAGACACTTGTAACAGGATACCAATATTATCTGAGGTGGCCCAAAGATGTGTCCCATGTGCCCTCTACCATCCTCCCTAACGATAACAGCATCCTCCCGAAATTAAGGATCTTCATTTCATTTTTTGTGTCCCTATCATCACCATTTATTTAAGAATGGTGAGGAAAATGGGTATTTTTCCATTCTCTAAGAAAATGTGTACATGTTTATATACACACATACAAGCTAAATTCATTATAGAAGATCAGGCATATCAGTGGTTTGAACAATAAAGGGTTAATGAATAGACTGAAGTTTGTTTTCCTATAACATGAAATTAATTTCCTATAATAGACAAGAAACCAGTCATCATATCTCAAAGTTAAAAGCTACACAACAATGTGCCCTTGAAGTAAAATCTTAAAAAAGGAAGACATTTTCTTTCAGTCACGGTGAAGTAACAGGGACCAGAGTTACCTGCTCACCTAACACAACCAAAACCCAGACATAAAATGTACAAGAACAATTTTCATAACACTGACCACCAACCAACAAAGGGCAGATAGCATTGAAAGCAGGAAATAAATGAGCCCTACTCAGTGCCTTCAGTGTTTCCAGGGTATGGCATTATGAAGGAAAAGCAGGCAAAGCCTGGAAGAATGTCCAGGGAGACCTGGACAGCTAGTTTCCAGAACAAGAGAGAGCTGCACAGAGAGAACCCTGGAGGTCTGAGTTGAGTGTGATCCCCCTGGAACATTTGCAGAGTTTAAATCAGTGCATGTGTAAGAGAACCCCCAACGTCAGAAGAAGGAAGCAACCCAAAAAGCAAAATCAGAGTATCTCCTATCCAATAAAAATTTACTACATATGCACAGAAAGAAGAAAAACCAGAGAGGGGAAAGACTTAACTGAAGCCAAAAGAATTAGAATGTGTTAGAATTAGCAGAGAAGTACATTAAAGCAGCGTAACTATTCCATATATTTTAAAAGGTATATAAATTTGTAAGACCTACAATGAATTTCTAGAAATTAGAAGAGCACTGGGATAAAAAAAAAAAAGTGAGATTAACAACAGGTAAGGCAGGAAAGAAATTAATTGAATTACAATTTAATAAAAGGAAATTAAAAAAAAACAACTCCAGGCCCTCCCTGGTGGCGCAGCGGGTTAAAGCACAGCACTGAGAATCTAAAGCCGCTTCCACATGAGTTCAATTCCCGCCTGCCCCGGAGGTGACCACATGGCGTGGCAGATCTCTCCTGACCCGCCCGCTGCTCCCCTCAGCAGTGTACTTCGTTGATCTGCCTGTTCTGTCCCCGCTCTGTCTCTGGTGAAGCCTCTCGCCGCCCCTGAGCCTCTGGCCTGTCCCCCAGTTCTGTATGCACAAATAAATAAATCTTTAAAAACAAAAACAAAACAAAAAAAAAACTCAACTCCAAAAGAAATTAGAAAAGGAGGTGTGAGAGTAATGAGATGAAACATAGTAAGAGTAGCCCCAAATCCAGTTATATCAATAATTTACATAAAATGTTAAAGCATTAAACATTCCAAGAATAGAATGTCAGAAAAAGCAAGACCCAAATATTTGTTAGTTTCAAAACAACACATTAAATATAAAGATACAGGCAGGCTTAAAGTGGGAAAAGATACAATATGCAAATGTGTTAGAGGGCAGAGACAACTTAATATCAAATTAAAACAACTTTAAAAAAAAGTGCTTATGGGCCCTCCCTGGTGGCTCAGTGGGTTAAAGCACAGCACTAAGAAGCTAAAGCCACTTCCGCATGAGTTCGATCCCTGCCCCAGAGGTGACCACATGGCGCGGCAGACCTCTCTGGCCCGCCTGTTGCTCCCCTCAGCAGTGTACTTAGTAGATCTGCCTGTTCTGCTCCCTACTCTGTTTCTGGTGAAACCTCTCGCCACCCCTGGACCTCTGGCCTGTACCCCAGTTCTGTATGCACAAATAAATAAATCTTAAAAAAAGTGCTTATCAGATAAAGAGGCATAATTTATAAGGACTAAGTGTTAATGCATCAAAGACATAGCAATCATGTGTCTAATAAGAGATTTAAAGAGACATAAACAGGGCCCTCCCCAGTGGCACAGTGGGTTAGATAGAGCACAGCACTAAGAAGCTGAAGCCACTTCCGTATGAGTTACATCCCTGCCTGCAGTGGAGGTGACCACAAGGCCCAGCAGAGCTCTCCTGACCCACCCGCTGCTCCCCTCAGCAATGTACTTCATCAATCGGCCTGTTCTGCTCCCCACTCTGTCTCTGGTGAAACCTCTCACCACCCCTGGGCCTCTGGCCTGTACCCCAGTTCTGTATGCATAAATAAATTAAAAATATCTTAAAAAAAAAAACAGAAATTAGTGGAATCAAAGAGAAAAACAAAAATCCACCGTGATAATTGGGAGATTTTAACATTTCTTCTCAGCAATTAATAGGACAATTATCTGTGTTGCTGATTTGAAAATAGGAAACTCTTCAACTGTTTGAGCCAAATGGTTGTCATTTTCATTGGAAAACCAATTTCATTAGATTATTGCAAAAAAAACAAACAAAAAAGTTATTTCCCTAACATGTTATTTGTGCATAAAAATATATAATACTATACAGTAATAGCTGTCCTTTTCTCTCACAAAATCTTGCAGTGTGGAGGCCTTGTGTAATTAATACACACATCCTACCTTACCAGTTAGATTACAACTATCTTCCTTGCACACTTTTTCTCCCTTCAAAGCACTATTTTTATAGTACAGCTTTCCTCACCTTATTTACTGCGTTTATCATACTATTAAAATGAAAGTGGCAGTAAACGCACTGCCTTTTCTCATTTTGCCTTACAGCATACACAATTATGCTGTGAGAAAGGTCTTGGAATCTCACTTTTGGCCACAGGACAAAGCAGCGAACGCTCTGTGCTTCCCACAAAATTTACCGGCCAGTTTTAGGTTTCAGTTGGAAAAGAAACCAGCTAAGCTCCAAACCTGGCTCTGCAAACTACTTAGCTACCCTAGATGAAAAGTACGTCCCTGCAACGTCAACGAATTTTTAATCAGAAAACCTTTGCGAAATATACGCTTCCTAAACATTTTACTGTTTTGCAAGTTAGGTTTCGCTACTTACCTCATGCTGTTGAACAGTCTCGTATAATCACTTTACATAGTGCCTGATCCTCATAACACTTGTTTATTAAAAGTTTGTGTGTTGAATAAGCCCGAATGGCCCCAGAACTTGAAAAAGAAAATGATAACACACAGGCTTTAAAGATCTTAAACCATCGCGTCACTAAGCTTCAATCTGCATAACCCTAAGGGTTCCTCAGGGAGCTGAAGGTCTCACTTTCCACCGCAGCCTACTAGACCTTTAATTAACCCGCCACAGCCTTCCCGCCTTCCCCCGGAGCGCGCACTTCCGGTCACGGAGGCGCTCTGGAGCGCGCTCCGCGAGCCCCCGCCAATCAGCGGCTCCGTTTGCCCAGCGCGAGTGCGCGCGCGCACACTTGTGCGCAGGTTCGAATCTCCACAGCTTCGCGGTTGCTCCCCAACGTCCGGTCGCACTCGGGACGAAGCCAGGGCGCCCCGCGAGGACTCCGCCCGCCCCGCCGCCCCGCCCCTTTCACCTTCCAGCAGCTTCCTAGCCCAGACCTGGTCCTCGCCCTCCCAGGCGCGCTCCGCCCTCCGCCCTCGTAGGTATCCACGCTCGGCCTCCCGCGCCGGGCGGGCTCCGCCCGAGTCTCTGGGCCCCATGGCCAAGCGGCGTGCGGCCGAGCCGCTGACGTTCCACGTGCCGTGGAAGCGGCTCCTGCTCTGCGACTTCCCGGAGGAGCCGTCGTCGCTCTGGATCCCGCCGCCGGTGGCTTCTCATCCTGGGCAGCTCCTCGGCGTCCCCGAGCAGCCTAGAAAGCGCAAAATCGACGCGGGGGCCATGGGCGAGCCTTTGACTTCACCCAGCAAGCGCCGCGACGGCGGGGACACAGACGCTCACGGTGGCGCGGAGAGTGAAAGCAGTGGCCTGGAGACTGGCGAGCCGCCGCTGCTGCAGCCACCAGGGCGGCCCCTCGAAACGGGGGAGGAGCTCCGGGGCGCCCGGCCCTCGAGGGGCGGTGGCGACGACGGGGCGGGGCGCGTAGAGCCCCCGCGGGGAGACTGGGGGCCCTCTGAGCGCCAGGTAGGGTTCGGCGGCGGGCTGGGTGGCCTGGAGGGCTGGAGGGGTGAAGGGAGGAGGGTCGCCTTCAACCCTGGCACTGCACTGCGCGCCTGGGGAAGTAACAGATCGTCTCTGACTAGACTCGTGCTCGCCTGGAAGCCTCCAACGGCGAAAGCTGGGGTTCCGGCTGCAGAAGCGCGCCAGCTCCCAGGCAACACCCTGAGGGCCTCACCAGAGCCCACCCCGGGCAGCGTTTGGGAAGATTCCGTAGCACTTTTCTACACTTGGGGAACAGACCTTGGCAGGAGGTCTTGAACCTAGAGGGAAGCTAAGGAAGAGGGGGAGAATCTTGACAGTTTATATCCGTGAAGATGTTGACTGAACCGCTGTAGGTTCTGCAACCGACAAACGTCAGAGAAAGTTGTAGCGCACCTTCCTTGGTTTAACCACGGTTCACCTTCCTCTCCCCGCACCCCAAACACCGAATTCGTGGTAGATTTCTTTATAAAGAGTGTGACCACTGTTGTAGCTGTCAATTGAAAGTCATTTGGACACGGCACAGGCCTTTTGGTGGAGAGGAGACACCAGCGTATCTTGGGAGAAGGTAGTGTTAAAGCATTTTAACTGAAGTAGTAGTAACTCAGATGCAGTGGAAAAGAGTCGTTGAAAATTCGTTTGGACCCTACGGTAAAGCATATATGGTGTCCATTGAAGAGTTGCTCCTCAGGAAAGGAGTTGTTGCACAGGAGAGCTAACCCTGTCTTGTGAAACAACTAAATACTTGAAATGTGTGACTCGTCCAAATTAAGATGTACTGAAAGTGTAAAATACACACTAGCGTTTAAAAATCTCCAAAAATGTTTATATTGATCACACGTTAAAGTAATATGTTGTGACTCACAACATATTTGACAGCTTTGGTCTAGACTCAGAAATTCAAACTGAGTTTTGGCAGTTCTGGCTTGACGTCGTAGGGGGGTTTGGGGTGGGAGAAACAAATGTGGGACTGAGACTTAGCCAAACTTCAGTCACCACAGAATAATATCCACCCCACATTTCTCCATGGTATCCTGTGCTGGCTTCCCATCTGCCAAAATAAGTTGAGGATTCTTTGGCATGGCTTTTTGTTAATAAAAATTCCAGTAAAATCTGAGAATGATATAGTCTGGATTTTCCTGTGATTCTGAGAAACTAAATCATGTTGTGCATTTCTGGGTGAAATTATAAGTTGTATTTTCTAATACTCCCATTTTTTCTTGGAATTTAGAAAGCATGAGCCGTAAGCCTTTTTTCCTTCACATGGCATTTAGAAGCTAAAAATTGACTTAAAAGAAAATGATAGTCCTCCAGATTTATTTGATACCAAAATAAGTAGTTACTGGTGTTAGCAGTGCACATAGGTGGGCTCTTGAGTTCCCCACTCAAAAATGTAATGAAAACACAGGAGGGTGGGTGACAGTAGAAGCACTGTGGTTTATTGAAAGGGAAAGAGCTAGAGACAGGGCACTGGGGTGCCACGTCCAAGAGAAGAGGCTCCTTGCCTGGGTTTTGAAGGCTGTAGAACTGTTGTCAGGTCTCTTCCTCCCTCTAATCTTCTGGTTAGTGGTCCTCTTCCAGTTGGGATGGGAGAGGGATTAAGAAGTATCTTTTCATTGGTGCCTGCTGCTTCTCGAATTCTATCCTGCCTCTCTTCCACCTGCCCCTTCCACACTGGGTACTTTGCAGACCTTTCCTTTTCAGGTCATTTTTCATTTTCCACCTATCTATGGCCTTGACTTCCCTACCACTGCAATATGCTGCACATTGGAAATGGAAGTTAGGCAAAGAAAGCATTTTCTTAGTAGATGGTGAAATTGCCTACATAGAATCTTCTGGACACAAACACATCTTACATTATAGCAGTGGCTCCTGTTACCTTTCTGCTTCCAGTAGTCACTTTAAACCCAAGACAAGGGAATAGATAGTTCCAGGGGCTGTTCTATACCAAGACTAGTCCCCTATTCTTTTTACCCAACTAGATCCCAGGAACTCCGTGTGTCTTTTGTCAGGTCTATTTCATGAGCTGCTTCTCTCTAGCACACCAGAGTTAAACATGGTTCCTACTACATACCTCGACAACATCAGAGAAAGTTGTAGCTAGCGCACCTTCCTTGGTTTAACCACAGTTCACCTTCCTCTCCCTGCACCCCAAACACCGAATTCGTGGTAGATTTCTTTAGAGACAGTTCATTACTACAGGAAAACAGGATGCAACAAAAACATGCATACTGAAGTTAAAAAGCTTTTACAGTAAATGCAGTAATGTCTACCTGGTTGCTGTTGCCCTCTGAATAAAACTTAACTATCTGCTCTCATCTTTGGGATCTCATGCAGGAAAAAAAAACTATCAACTTTTTCTAAATGATGAAATCTAGACAGAACCTCAGAATATTTTCTGAACTGTTTCAGATGTTTTCTGGAATACTCATTAAATACTCACATTATTTTCTCAAGTTAGTGCCACAAGTCAGTGCTGACACTTAGAGATGTTTAATAGAGGGAAGGTAGAATGTGTTTCTCTTACTAAAAAGAAAATGATTTATAGACCCCTTGGGATAGAATAACTAGCAATAATAAGCAATATACTAAAAAGGAAACAGATCAAGAATAGAGTTGGATGGTAGTGTTTATCATGTAAACCCAGGTCTTTGTGGTGGCAGTTTGTGCTCTTAGCTGCTAGATTACATTGGTATCATTAGGGAGGTTTTTTTGGTCCATATTTATAAATAGATAACTTTATGAATAAACAGTTTTTTCCAAAAGGCAGAGAAACAGATCCTTGTTTTTAACCTGATTTTACTTAAATTGAAATTTTTCTTGGCATCATTTGAAATACATTTTTAGCCCAGTACTAAATTCTAAATAAATTCTATTTATTCCTGATAGCTTAGTGTTTAAGACACTGATGAACTCCACGAGATTTCCTTATAGATTTCTGCTTTGCAGTAAAATAGTCACTGGGACTTGAGCATTGGCAGGTGTGGGTAGTACTGGCAGTTGCTAGATTTTGAAAGTTCGTACAAGAAGATTGTAAAATATCTCGTTACTTTTTAAAAATATTGACCGCATTGAAGTAAAATTTTTTACATATCGGTTCAAATAGGATATTAAGATCAATTTCATCTGTTTATTTTGACTGCTGGAAAATTGAAATTACAAGTGGCTCTGTTAGCTTTCTGTTGGGAAGTGCTGCCATAGCGAGTATGAACCTAAAGTAAGAATAGATAAGTAGAATATCTATCTTTATCTATTCTAGTAGTAGAATAGATAAGTAAACATCTATCTGAAGGTGTGTTTCCCTCCAAAATGATCATTGTGGAAGCTTCTGTATGTAATCCCAATGCTGTTCTTTTGCACAGATATTTTTGAAGCTTTAGAAATTCTCTCTTGGCTTTTGATTTCCCTGGGACATCAGCTTCACTTCATAGATACTTAAAACAATTTTAGTCATTTCAGAATAAGCTTTTGAATTGTTAAGCGGCTGGTACTCAGATTTATGAATTTTGGTGGATTGATTTTGAAGTTAGTCATACCTTTTATTCTTGCTATTTGCCATGTCTATACTTTAATAATTTATGGAAGTTGTCAAAATGTAAAATTAATCCCATAAAGTACTAAATCTCAAGGAAAAAAAAAATGTGTGTGTGCTTTTAGTTTTCCTTACTATAAAATAAATAAATACGTAAAATTGTTTTGATATTGAAAATAAACCAAAAAAAACCCAAAGGCTTTTTCTTTAGTTCAAGATAGGAACATCTCTTTTCACAAAGAGATGTTCTTGGAAGAAATTCTTTAAATTTAAACTGCTCACAGAAATATGCAAGTCTATGAATACAAAAAATATGGGCGTTTGATTGAATCAAAATAACTAGGAACAAAAAATGTGTATTTGTCAGACATATAAAGCAAAACACTGAAAAATATTAAGTTTATTTTTTTAATTTGCTTAAGAAAAAAGTTTTTTCTATACCACTGATGTACTTACATACTTTTATCTCTTCCCACTACCCCCCTCCCCCAAAAGCTCAATGAAGAATTTTGGCAGTATAATACCTTCCAGTACTGGAGGAATCCCTTACCACCTCTTAATCTGGCAGACATCGAAGACATAAATGAAGATAACCTGAGGAAACCAATGCTGCAGGGCAAGAATGAAGTGGTTGAGATTGACATGGAGTCCTGACAGAAGGAACTAAGAAAATGTTTTTTTCTGAAGTGGAGAAGACAACTTTAAATTTATGTATTCTTAAGGGAGAGAGTTATTTTCCATACCTAATGTGATATTTGTTCCCAAACCTGAAAAATGAGGAAAAGTTGTTTTAAGGATAAATGCCTGCAGTCACTACTGAACTTCCCAATAGAGATTTATCAAGAATATATAGTGCAGTTATAGAGGAAGTATTGTATGTATGCATTCCTAAAGGAAAATTTTGCTCAGATTCTAACTTTGAAGAGGAATCCTGACAGTTCTAGAGATAGGGAAATACTCAAATATTCCTATCTGCACCAAAAAGTTTATGGTACATGAAGTAAATATTGTTTTATAACAATTGTTAATAAAATGCTTTCAGATACATTTTACTGACTTCTAGTTAAACTAATAGGTAATTTAAAAATCTATACAAACTTAAAATTGTGAGGCATAGTATTTCTAAGTGTAAAGAATTTCAATTTGGGTAGCATGTTTGTGTAACTTCCAATCTCTGGTGTTTGATAAACTCTACTATAATAATCAAAAGTAGTTGAGAACAATGAGAAGTGAATAGGTGCTTTTTCCCCCAGGATAAGAGGAAAGAAACTTATCACATTTCTTTCTTTATTTTGTTAGTTTTGAATTATTTTAAGGGCATGGTTTTAATTGCTCACTATTTTAAACTTTATTTTAAAGGAAAGAGCTGAAGCAATGCCTCTTAATTAGCTTTGTTTATATTTCTCTTAATGGCTTTGTTACAACTAAATTATTGTGTTGTTACTATTTCATAAAGTATACAGTTGTGTTTGAGTAATGAGTATTGATATTAAATTAACTTTTGTACTGCATTCAGAATGTTGGCTTTGTAATTGAGTAACTCTCCTTGCTTGTACATTGTTATTGTTAATGACATTAGATCCAAAATTCAGGAAAGTTGATAAATGACAACTAGAGAAAAAAATACTATGTGTGTACTGCAGCATTTAAGTATGGGTTGACATCAATGAGAATAGAACAGAAGAAAAATTATAGAATTGTATTTGAGTCAAAACTTCATAGTCAGAGTTCAATGTCTTGTTCTGCTGTTTTCTATGTATTAAGGAAGTTATTTTTCATCTCCAGGCCCCAAATTCTTCACTTGTAATATGAGAAAAAATAAATAGCATCTACCTCAGAAATAACTGTTGTCAAACAGTGTACTTTAAGTGCATCATCTTACTCAAGTCTCATAGGTTAAAAAAAAATTAGAGTATATGTGCTCCCTGTAGTTGTACTTGACTCTGCTTTAAATTGCTATTAGATGCTTCAGGGTAAGAATTGGAATTAAAGAAATAACAAGCATAGCAAGCATGTGGGGGGAAGCAGTTAAAGTACTTGGCAAAATTGGCAATTTTTATTTTTTTAATTTTTAAATGTACTTTTTCTTACATCACTGTTAATCTTTGGACAATATATGATTTCTCTCCTCAGGTATGGTCGCTGTAGTTTTCCCACCAGGAAAGCACCCATAGCTTAGCACTGTATTCCCTTGTGTTCTTCCTACACTCTCTTGTTTTTGTCCTTACCCCTCCATTCTTTTCTTCCCATTCTGAAAGTTATACTGATGGTCAGTTTTTGAGGTTTGCCTCTGACCCTTTGTTTTTTCTATATTTCACATATAAGTGAAAACATGTGATACTTACCTTTTTCCTTCCTACTTATTTCACTTAGCATCAACCCAGCTCTGTCCACATTGCCACAAATAACATGAGTTTATCTTTTTTGATTGCTGAGTACTACTCCATGTGCAGTTTCCATACTTTGGCTATTGTGAATAGTGCTGCAGTAAACATAAAAGTGTAGGTTTCCTTTCAACTTAGTGTTTTTGTGTTTTTTGGGTAGATTCTTAGGAGTGGAATAGCTAGGTCATATAGCAGAACCATTTCTAGTGTTTTGAGGAAACTCCACACAGCTTTCCATGGTCACTTAATAGTTTATGTTCCCACCAGCAGTGTAAGAGAATTAAAATTGGCAAGCTTTTTTCCCCGTTCTGTTTATCCTTGAGTAGAAATACATCTTTTTTTATTCATTGCTTTTCCTAGTGCTTGCCAAGACAGTACCATCACACACTAGGTAAATACTGCATGAAAAAAAATGAATTGGCATTCTTGCCCGTTGATGGGAAGGTAATACCAGCATTTTTCCGGGAACATAACAGAGGTAGACAATTTTCCCAACAGTACTCAGACAAAAGTTTTATTGTAAAAATTGGAAATAGACTCAATATATAATAGTGCAAAGATTAAGACAACTATTACTTCTAAATATTTTACTTGAGGATTTCTAAGATTAATGAGACTTAAATATTTGGAATTTAAAAATAGTATTTCCTTTCATGTAAATAGCTCACTATTTGTAACCAGCTCCTTTAAAAGGTGTTGGCTTGCCCTTTAGATGAAAGGTGATAATTATCAGAATTACAAAGAACATTGTTGCATAATCCTGTAATGCCTATTACAATTCAAAGACAATATTTTCGTTTTTATTAATATGACAGGTTTTCTAACTTAACACATAAAACTGCAGGTGCATTTAATAAGGTGGGTGTGTTCAATAATGTCTAATAACATTCCAACCCTAAGCTTTATAGGTAATACTTGATTACTCTGCTCCTTGTTAAAAAAGCAGCTGCAAAGCCTTGCTGGCATAAATGTTAAGCTAAAACACAAATCTGCACATATTAAATGAATTTAAAATTATACTTTTTTTTTATGATACAAGATTCAAATGTAAAGGCAATAGGCAAGCAGTGTCAGTCTTGCAAGAACTGAAGGTCTGTAGCAACTGAGCACTTGAACAAAATTGCTCAATTGTGAATTCTAAACAGTGGAAAATCAAAGGAAGAGTTGGTAATGCACTTGAATGCCAGTAAGTGCCACAGTGAAGCACTATGTGCAGTGTTCTTAGGGAAAGACAGGGTAACCAGACAACTATACCAGCCAAGATGTAATACAAATAAAAATTAGGGCAAAGGCACTGAACAAGCAAACACACACATAGAAACATGAACTTTAAATATATACATATATTAACCAACCAGGACATACAATTTTTCAATCCCCTGCAATGGATGGGATATGGCTTTAAAAATGTTAAAACTTATAGGTAGAACTGAAAGTAAGCATGGAAATTAGGATAACAGAATTAGTCAACAAAGAAAAATATAGAAGAGAAATAGAAAAAAGTATAAGAATGATAATCCCCTTGTCTTTTTAATAAAGACAATTAATATGATTTGAAATTAAAACAGCCACGTTACTGCAAATGTTTGAAGAAATCCCTCTGGCAGTTTATCCTTCTGCACACACTTGTGGCATATCTACAGAAGCCAAAAGTCAGGTGGGGCCTAACATTTGATGAGTAGTGTGTGCACATGGGATCAACAGTACTGGCAACAGGAAATTCAGACTCCCCTGAAAAAATTCATCCCACAAAGTATCTATGGGTCTGTTGACTAGCTTTCCTACCTGGTAGCCCACCCCATTCAGTGACACCTCCAGTTGTGGAATGAGGCAGTACTTGGTTATGCTGGGCTATTAAGGAGATAGCACAGTTTAGACTGCAAGTTCCAGATAGAAAATAGGGACCATACCCATTCAACCTACCCTTAGCAAATTTACCAATCTTGAGCCCCAATCCAGGATGCAAATGAAAAAGTCCCATTCTCACCTGAGTCAGGGGTCCCATCTTGTACTCAAGTGAAGCATTTACTTTCTAGACTTGAACATTTTCAATTCCTAGTAACATCTACAAGAGTCAGAAGTATTCTCGTTCACTTAATGTTTGTTTTTTTGCTCATTTTGCTGCTCACCAAGTATTTCTTCAACTATGTATCATTACAGAGTAGTAAAGGCCCTGTGAAATAATTAGCTGTGTGCCAATGATCATCAAGTGATCAACGATTATTACTTCATTGAGCCAAAAATCACTCAGTGGTGCCAAGTCTAAAGAATGCCTCAAGAAATGCCTTTGCAGCAGAAAATGTCACTCATGTATTGCAAAATCATAATTACAGATTTTATTGACTCTAAGTAAATATTTGACAGTATTGTATTCAAAGACTTCTCGAAATTAAATATGCCAAAGTACATCTGCCCTTTAGGGGAAAAGTAAACAAAAAACCCTGAAGATGTGACTGATATTATGAAAGAGCCATTAGTACTGAAGTGGTCACAATTCTGTTTTCCTACGAAGCCAGGAAAGTGTTTCTCATTGTAGACTCCGAATTTTGCACGATGAGTTCTCTAAACTAGCCCTTTTTTATGGTATGTGCTACCCAAATTAGAGTGAGTTTATGAAACTTCTAGGCTGAAATGGTATAAAGCAAAGCAAGTATCATTGATATATCTAGAAACTGCTGAATGTTCCTAAACCCCAAAGATAACTTATCAAATGATACCAAACAACACATGAAACTTAAAACGAAACTCTCATTAGTAAAAGCAGGAATAACAGAATGGATACCTGTGAGGTCTATATAAAGTAGTTCTTGGGAACAAATTGGTGTGACATTCTCACTGCTGCTTCATGTTGCTGTTTTAGGGTCACATAACACATGCTGAATGCTATTTGTGCTTTCCATTGTAAAGGTGGAAGTACTCTGGAGCACTCTTTAGTGAAAAAATGAATGTAGGTGTTTCATTAGAGTGAAGCAGAAGGGGAAAATAGGGTAGAGCCCACTTTTTAAAAGGCAGGGATACCATAACAGCACAGAATCAATCATATGGAGGTTAACAGGATAAAAAAGCTGGTGGGCAGCAAGTTCAGTGGTTCAGAGATAAAAGTTTGTACAAAATAAACAAGTTTATAGTTAAGGCTTTGTAAATTAGAGAGTTCTGGCATTCTTCCCAAGTTGCACTATTTTGAGTCTGTGGAGACTTGATCTGTCCTTTAGGGATAATTTAGTGTTGTGAAAATGGATGTTCAGGTTGGGGTTTATTTGAGCTGATTCCATCTTGTGCCTGATACTCCATTATATTGAATTTTTTTTAAAAGATTGATTTATTTATGCTTGCAGAACTGGGGTATAGGCCTGAGGTATGGGGGTGGGGAGGTGAGAGGATTCACCAGAGACAGAATGAGGAGCAGAACAGGCAGATGTATTGAAATACACTGCTATGGGGATCAGCAGACATTTCAGGAGAGGTCTGCCACACCCTGTGGGCCACCTCCCTGGCTGGGGATTGAACTCATGCTGTAGTGGCTGGGGTAGCTTCATAGTGCTGTGCTTTAACCTGTTGTGCCACCAGGGAGGGCTCTATACTGAATTTTTTAATCTAAAAACAAGTTCCAAAACTATGTACTGACTGACAAGAACCAGTTTCCAGCTAGATATTTCCTTCCTGAAAAGAGTGCAAATATAATTTTTCTTTTTGTTCTCTCCATAGTAACCAGTCAGTTTGATTAAAGCCAGTGAACTCTAAGGAATATAATCTATAATCTGCCCTATTTCTTGGTAGACAGCTTCTACATTCCTATACTTTCCCTCATCGTTTTCCTTTAAAACCCCTGTAAACAAAGACCCCAGCGGAACACAAGGGTTAACATCTGAGTTTGTACTCCCTAGTTTTCCAGTATAAGAGCAAATAAACACCATTATTTTAGCCTGAGCATGTTTTTCTCAGTGAACAGTATCTACATTATTGTACTGTTGTGAGAAAAAAAAAAAAAAGAAAATGAATGTAAA